GGGCCTCTGGGGCCTTCGTGCAGTCGCGCCCGCCCTCTTTTCGCGCCGTCGGTGGCGACTGGAGCGCATGGAGGCGATCCAAGGGCTCTTTGGGGCCGTCTTCGGGCCTTCTTCGGCCGTCTGGATTCGCCCCGGTGGCTTGCGGGGACAGCGTTTGGGCCTTACTCGGGCCGTCCAGGGCCATGTGGGCACCCTCTTGGGGCCCTTCGTGGGGCTCCCTGGAGCTGCCTTTAACTCCCAGAGTCGCGTTAATCCGAAACGCGGGGGATCCCAAACTTGAACGACGTTATCTCAATCGTCGTGTGTTGGGCTCCTGTGCTGAATAGAGCGCTGCGGTCGCGTCTCCTTCTCCTCCTCCATCTCCTCCTCCTCCTCCTCCTCCTCCTCCTCCTCCTCCTCCTCCTCCTCCTCCTCCTCCTCCTCCTCCAGCCCCCCTCATCATCTTTCCTCCTGCCTCGTAATGCACCTGCTACCTCTTACCTCTGCCTCGCCATTGCTGGGGGGCTGCGCACCGTGAAGCCGTCGCCACTTTGGAGGACACTCTACTCATATCCAAGTTAGACCTCAACATCCCTGGTGGCTGCGAACTGCGAAACTTTCGCAACGTTCGAAGGCTGCTGGGGGTCCCAGCGCAGTGACGCCCTAACCAGAGTCAGACTAGACCTCGCCATCCCTGGGGGGGCTGCGATGTGCGAAGCTGTCGCAACTTTCAAGTGCTGCTGAGGGGCACGACGCAGTTTCGCCCTAACCAGATTCAGACTAGACCTCGCCATCCCTTGGGGGCAAGATTTGCGAAGCCGTCGCCACTTTCAGGGGCTGCTGGGAGGTACGGAGCAGTGATCGACCTCGCCATCCCTCGGGGGGCTGCGATGTGTGAAACTATCGCCAACTTCGAGGTCTGCTGGGGGGCCCAGCGCGGCGATGCCCTGACCATATTCTGGCTTGACCTCGCCATCCCTGGGCGGCCGCGAAATGCGGAGTTGTCGCCACGTTCGAAGGCTGCCGGGGGAGGGCCCAGCGCAGTGACACCCTAACAAGATTTAGATTGGACCTCGCTATCCCTAGGGGGCTGCGAACTGCGAGATTTCCGCCACTTTCTACTGCTGCTGGGAGGTTCAATGCAGTGACGCCCTATGGGGACTCATAGTCGACCTCGCCATCCGGGCTGCCTGGGTTTTGCTGCCTGAGCGCGCCTGGGCTTTCTGGGCACGTGTTTGGCATCTCTCTTCTCCACTTATGCACGCGTTGGGCGTGCTGCGGGCAGCAGCTGGCATGTTACCAGCGAAGCTCTTCAAGAGCTGAAGACCATGGTCGGCACGGCACGACCGCTTTTTCGCCTTCTGGAACATCGTCGATGTCGGTTAAGGTCAGGAATGGGTGGACGTGAACCTACGGGCGACTAGCAGAGACCCGATCGACAGGGTCAGTTCCTGATGTGATGGATAAGCACCCCTTCCTACAAACAGTCAGCACAAAGCTGTCCAATATTCAGGTTCGATCGATTCGATGGCATCGCGAACCCTGCGCTGCAGCATCGATCGATTCGATCGCGCACCTCAAGGGGCGGCGCCCATCGTGGAGGATGAGGTTCGGTTCGGTTGATCCGTTTGTTCCTGCGATTCGCCCGGTTTGCGATTGACGGCGGCCGAATCCTAGCAAGATGTCGACAAACACAAGTTTGACGGGAAACCAGGCAACATACGCAAGCTTGACTCCAGGCTGAATCCTATGGCAGATGTCTTGGACGCAGGGGGCCGAATCGCACCGATCGGACTGTGTAGCAAGCTGCTCGCTCTCGGCAGCGACTGCCGGACGGACTGCCTTTCAAGAAGAAGGCTGCGCGAGCGAGCCGGCAGGCGGCGGCGAACAAACAGTGGTGGCCATGGCGCGGGGAGCCTGGGTCACCCGCGGGGGCACGAGGACTCTCTGTTGCGCTTCACGTGTCGCGGCCTGGTCCGCGACACGGCGCTCATCGCTGGGCGCGGTGCGCGAAGTTAGAGCCTGTTTTTGCATACAGTGCCGTTTTTTTATACATGCTCCGCGTGCGGATCATAGGTGAAAAATGCAAGAATTCAGTATTTGAAACAACCATGATTTCATGCATAAGTTTATTCATAAATTAATCATGTATTAAAAATCCGATATGTTAAAAACATCCCATGTATTCAAAACTGCCCTGTAGGGTCCGGCGATACCCCGGGGTATCGGGCTTGCACCCCCTCCCCACCCCCAGGGTAACCTACATGTCCTTGCCGGTTGTGCAGGCTCGGGGTGGGGGGGCGCTGGCATATGCAGGGCCACCCCCCACAGCGCGAAGGTTAGGTGACCGGCCGGCCCCCTCCTCACCCCCCCTCGGATAACCCGGGGTATCGCCGATTCAAAAGAATAACGGTCTGTGGTGGTCGGGAGCGTTTGGACATCGTGTCGTTCCGCCGGTTTGGGCCCGCGGCGCTCTCGGTGTGACACGCTGTCCACTTCGCGGTCGCGAGGCTGCAGTGGTCCCGAGCCGTTCCGAGCTTCCCGCCCCGCGGAGCGGAGCGACACGCTATCCATGATGGGCCTGTCTTCCACCGCCACCACCACCACCATAAGTTGGAGGGGGGAAGGAGGAGGAGGAGGACGAGGACGAGGAGTACGAAGAGGAGGAGGAGGAGGAGGAGGAGGAGGAGGAGGGCCCGCACGGCACGCGCCCTGCAAGCGCAGCTTTCGGGCTCGGCTGTTGCCCGCGGCAGTCATGGCGCTGAAGCGACGACCACGTGGGCTCGGGGAGGGGCGCCGACTTTTGGGCAGTTCCTTAGGTTTGCGTCGTGGACCCTCACCGTGTCCGAGGCTCGCCGTGGCCAGACAAGCCCCTTCGATCCGTAGTCAGCGTTCCATCTCGGGGCACGATGAGCGTATCCACGTCCAGGACCCAGGTGCAGCTGCGCCCTTGCCGTTCTCCCCCCTCGTCCTGCCGATCCTCGTCTTCTTCGCCCTCCGTAGCCGCTTTGGCTCAGGCCGTGCTGGCCCGCAGACCTTCGCAAATGTACCCTCGCGGCCGCCCGCTGGGGACCGACGCGGCGAAGCCGCAGCTTCGTCCTCTCCGCCGCGGCAGGCTGGGCAGGCCCTGCAGGATGGCCCGCTCCGACAACGGCGGCGGCGCGCCGCAGCTGGAGCCCCGCGACGCTGCGCTCAGCAGCTGCTGCGGCGGCGAGCAGGCCCCGCCTCGCCGGGTACCGTCGGCCGTGCCGAGTGCATGGCAGCTCGAGCTGGTGGACTGCGGTCTGGAGGGCGTGCTCTCCGCGCAGCCCGGCACGTCGGATGGGCACCGCTCTTACCCGGGCCCAGGAGTCTTCTTCTCCTTGGGCGAGCCTCTGTGCACTCCCACAGAGGTCGCCCCGCCGCCCAGCACCCTCTACGGCGTCTACCTGGCGCTGCTGGGCGAGGACAGCAGGTTCAGGCACCGGCTTTGCGACGGAGTGAACCCCGAGGTGGCAGAAGTGCGACGGCTGCAAAGCCAGCCTGGGTGCGGCACCGCCCGAGCCAGGTGTCTAGCGTCCATTCCGGTTCTGGGCAAGCGCACGTACCAAGAGACGTTGCGCATTGCGCTGTGCAGGGACGGCGGGGTGAGCACCCTTGCGATCCAGGTGGCCGGCACCCTGAAGGTCGGATTTCCTGTGGGAGACTTCCTGACGGAGACGTTGCACCTCTTCACCCAGGCCGGCGACGATTGCCCCGTGCAGCTGCAGAGCTGGGGCATGGCCCAGCCCGGGGCCCAGCAGCGGAAGGCGCTGGACGGCATGAAGGCCAAGCATCGCGAGTACCTCGCGAACGTCCGCCGGGCGGTTCGCGAGGCCCTGCCGGGCTCGCTGCAGGCTCGCCCTCACGCTGCGCCGAGCACGCCGCCGAGCACGCCGAGCACGCGGGCGAGCACGCCGAGCTCGCTGCGGAGCACGCCGAGCTCGCTGCCGAGCGCGCCGAGCACGCCCGCCGGGGCGGCCCCGCCGAGCTGGCCGCGGCCTGCGGAGGGGCCCCCGGCGGAGGCGGAGGCCCGTCGGCGGGCCGGGCCCTCCTGGCAGGAGTGCCTCTCGGGCGGCTGCCTCGCCGGCCTGCGGCGCGCGGCGGCGGCCCCCGAGGTCGGTCGGGTGCTGCGCCAGAATCGGCAGGAGCGGAATGGGTATACGGGAAGAAGAGGGGGACAAAAAGTGACATAGACATAAAAACTCAATGGTCCGGGCGGATTTCTCGGATCGGCGCTGGGGCCCCCCGGCGGCGCCTCTGGCGCCGCCCCTGGCGCGCTCCGCGCGCCAGGGAGGGGGGTCCAGCGCCGATCCGAGAAATCCGCGCGGACCTCCGAGTTGTTATGTTTATGTCACTTTTCGTTCCCCTAAAGAATGAGTACGATGCCCAACAGCAGTTCCTGCCCATTTGAAACAGAAGGCCGCCTGCCCAACAGCGGCCGCGGTCGGTTTGGGACAACATGTGTCGTTGGGCATTGTACAAATTTTTCCCGTACCCATTTCGGGCGTCCAAAAGGTCGGTCGGGTGCTGCTAGAAGCCCAGACCCCCTTCGTCATGGCGCCCACGTGGCAGAGCGGATCTCGTTGGGAGAACGATAGGTGGGGCCCGGAGGGTGCTGGAGGATTTCGTGCCGGATTTCGAGGTGAAATTCGTGCGGATTTTTTGGGGGCCAGGAATGAAGACAAACAAACATCCACGCGAAATTAATTTCGTTTTTCGCTCCCCGTTTCGCGGTGCGCCACTGAGAGAATTCCACGCAGAAATCTGCTGCAGCACGACTGCAATGCCTGTGCAATGACCTCCAGGTCATGGAAAAAGTCACCACGGAAGTTTTTTCGCTATTTTTGGCCTCTCGGGGCTTTTACTCGGCCTCGAGACCGTCAAAAGACGACTCGGGATGCGAAACCGGTCCCCGGGAAGGGGTCGAGACCTCTCGTGGTCGACGTTTAAAAAGTCATGGCGTCGGGGGTCTGGTAGTGCTCCTGGCCCAAGGTGCCCCCAGGATTTCCAAGGAAGCCCCCACGGCCTCCAGTCCGAGGAGGAACAGGTGCTACCAGTAATCGCGGGCGAGACCGACAGTAGAGATGGGACATTTACCCAAGGGTACCATTGCATCCTTGCCTCTTCGGTCTATCCCTAACTACTCTCGATTGCCAGCCCAAATCGAAAAGCTTCGGCATGGATACCCAAGGCCCTTGAATCCTCATCGCGCATCCTTACCATTAGTTTTGACCGTACCGCTACCAGTACCTAAAGATCGTTCTCATCTTTTTGGGCGTTTTTGAGGCCCTCGTCGTCACCGAAGGATTCGCTTTGAAATTGTGGCCAGAACGCACCCCAGGAGGATTCCGGGGAGTAGCGGTAGTACCCCCCATCCAGGGCACCCCTCACGAGACCCAGAGGGCCCTTGCAGGGGCTCCAAGATTTGGCGAAATGCCGGGGGCACCTTAGGCCAGAGGCACCTGGAGCAGCTCTCGACGAGGGGCTGCTGCTCATGCTGATGTCGCTGCTCCTTGACTTGGTGTAGCGCCCCCGCCCACCCCGGCAGGGGTGCTGCTCGCCAGCGGCTGCTCGACACAGGGCTTCCGCGCCCGAGGGGCTCGTTTTCCTTCTGCTGCTCGTCTCTCGAGGGAGGAGAAAATCCACCCCGACCGCCATGATTGGCGTTTGCGAAACTCGACGAAGGAGAAACGCCATACACGTAAACTTTTGGCGCTCCGCGCCAAAAGTGTATGTTTACGGCGATTTGTCCTTCTAGAAACGGCCCTGGGCGTTTACTAAACAGCCCTGCCTTGTTCGACTAATTTCCTTATTAGTGTGCTTGCTCAACGCCTTCGCTTGTCGGGGTGGTCCTGGGGGTGTTTTTTCTGCTCCCTATCCCTGCTCGTGGAGTTCACGCAGTCGCTGCCGGCGATTTCAACACAGCCGTGCGGCCCATCGAGCCCGCCACACCAAAGAATTAACACCCTGCTGACAACGCAGGCGTCCGCGGCTCAGCCCTGATCTCTCGGCCAACGTGGGATCCTTTCCGAGCGAGACCAACGGCGCAGACATGTCCACATCATCACCCTCTTTCTCCTCTTGCCTGGCGGCTCGAAATCGAGACCGCCAGGCCAGCCCTAGGGCACAGTGGCCCAGAGCTCTTCGTACTGTACGACGATGATGCCGCAGTAGCAAGCCGCGGTAGGTTCGCGTCGCGTCGACCGGCGGCGACCCCGCCGCCAGCGTTCAACGTTGAACGCCGCCGGCGACCCAGAATCGATCGATGCTGAAAGCTCTGACGCTTCGGAAACGGCCGAGCATTCCAGGCGGAAAGGATCCCCGCGGTGTCGGAAGCCAACGCCGCAGTCGGCACGGCGCGAGCCCGCCGTGCTGCCCCTGAGGTGTCCGAGATCCGATCCTCCAGCTCGGCTGCTCGTGCCCGCCCCCCCCCCCTTGGCCCCCGTGGGCCGCCCCTGGGGTCAAGCCGAGTGCCGCCTGCGACCGCGCGCACGTTCGTCTCCTCCTGAGGGCCAGGGGAGGAAAGGGTAGCCATGCCTCTGCCCCTCGCCCGCGTTCCCCTTGGCGGGCCTCCTCGGAGGCCCTCGTCGCCACCGCTGGATTCGCTTCGACGTCCTGGTCAGAACGCACCACGGGAGAGGTCTGGGGAGTCGCGGTATCGGTACCTTTTGGTTCCCCAGCGCGCAGTCGCGAGCCTTGGCACCGGTCGGGCGTGTGCATCTTCTCTTCTGGCGAGGACAGTCGAGGAGCCTCCTGGATCCTCGTGGGGAAAAAAGTGCACGCGCGAAGCCGACACGTGCACGGGGAGTGACGCTCGAGCGATGCCAAGGGTCGCCCACCGCGCGCACGCCGCCAGCGTTACGTCGGGCACGTCCTTCTACAGGATGAATATTCAAAAATAGTAAATAAAGAGTCTTGGGACGATGTTTTCATTATATTGGGCTGGCCTCCGGCCAGTGCCGCCGATCCGGGGGGGGTGAGAGCGAGCTAATGATGATGATGATGATGATGATGATGATGATGATGATGATGATGATGATGATGATGATGATGACGATGATGATGATGATGTTGAGGATGAGGATGAGGATGAGGATGAGGATGAGGATGAGGATGATGATGATGATGATGATGATGATGATGATGATGAGGATGATGATGATGATGAGGATGATGAGGATGATGATGATCATGACGATGGGGTCGATGGTGATGATGTTTATGATGTGGGTGCTGGTGATGATGAGCATGGCGATGATTATGAGGATGGTGATGAGGATGATGATGATGAAGTTGGTGATGGTCAGGAAGAGGATGATGATGGGGACGTCTTGGAGGTTTCTGATGCTGCCTTCGGGTCATCTTGGGCGGTTCGAGCGATGTTTCGGCGATTCGGGGCCCTCTTGCATTGTCTAGGGGGCCTCTGGGGCCTCTCGTGGCTTCCTCTTGGGCTGTCTTGGGCGGTCGGAGCTCCGGAAGTGGAGTTTTCTATACCCCCCTGTCCCCGGGTACGGAAAAACGTCGGAAATGACGAAATATCCCCGTGTACCGAAAAATGTCGGAAATGACGTCGGAAATAACTTACGCCCCCCCCCCCCCTGCAGAGCAAAGCTTGAGCGAGCTCAAGTCCACGCTCTCAGAAACTCACACGCCGGATCGGCGGATTGGTGATAAGATGCTTGATTCTAGATTTGACTTTAACGGATTTTTGAGTTTTTTCGTCCAGCATCCGCCTGTAGGGTGACATGCCCGACCTAAGGCTGGCGGGGACTGCGTGGGCCAGGCCTGGCAGCGGGCCCCCAGTCTGCGCGTCGAGGGCGAAGGGACGCGTCCGCCGCTCGAGCTGGGCCAGCCGATGCGGTCCGTGGCCCGGCGCGGTCGGTGTCTCTGGGCCGCCTCGGGCGGTGCGTCACATGGAGGGCTTCTCCGAAGGGCTTAGGCGACCCGTCGTCCTCCATTCCTTCTCCTCATAGATCGCTCCTCCCTGTCGCACCCCGACGCCAGTTTTTAGTGCGGGCTGGGCGTTTCGACTGAGACTTCCTCACCACTCATGACTCTGAAGCCTAAAGATTGGCAGCAGTTTCACAGATGGAGGGCGGGTCGCTTTCAAAATGTGGCTCTCGTCTGAGCGCCGCGCACATTCGCTTCTTCACATTTGCCAGAGCTTCACGGATTGAGGGCGGGTGGTTTTCAAAATGTCGCTCTCGCCTTAGCGCCGGGCCCATTCGTTTTAAACATTTGCAAGAGTTTCACGGGTTGAGGGGGGGTCGTTTTCAAAATGTTCTTCTCGCCTGAGCGCCGAGCACATTTGTTTTCAACACGTGCAAGAGTTTCACGGGTTGAGGGCGGTTCCTTTTCAACATGTGGCTCTCGCCTTAGCGCCGCGCACATTCTTGGTGCAACATTGCAAAAGTTTCACGGATTGAGGGCGGTTCTTTTTCAACATGTGGCTCTCGCCTTGGCGCCGCGCACAGTCGTTGCAAACAATTGCAAGGGCTTCACGGGTTCCCATGATCAGCGTACCAGACATGGCGTTTTGGAAGGATTCAGGATTATGCGGGCGCAACAATTATGTTGATTCGTTGTGTTGAAGCCCCAAAAAGTGACATTCTAGCACGATTCTGGATCGTCAAGACGCAGCAGTCAGGTTGATACGTGGCGTTGGAATCCCGAGAACAATGTGTTGGCATGCTTCAGGATCTTCAAACTGTTGTCTTCCAACGAGGCAGTTCCCTCAATGGAAATGAACCGTTGTAGGGGCCTGTGAAGAGGGAGCGTGGAGGGAGAGTGAATTCCAACATCGTTGATGATTTTTGGGTTTCCGTTGGTCCTCCTACTCCTCCTCCTCCTCCTCCTACTCCTCCTCCTCCTTCTCCACCTCCTCTTCCCCCTCCTCCCCGTCCTCCTCAACCTCCTCCTCCTCCTCATCGTACTCCTCGTACTCCTAGTCCTCCTCGTCCTCCTCCTCCTCCTCCTCCTCCTCCTCCTCCTTCTCCTCATCCTCCTCCACCTCCTCCACCTCCTCCTCCTCCTCCACCTCCTCCTTCTCCCTCCTCCTCCTCCTCCTCCTCCTCCTCCTCCTCCTCCTCCTCCTCCTCCTCCCCCTCCTCCTTCTCCTCCTTCTCCTCCTCCTCCTCCACCTCCTCCTCCTCCTCCTCGGGTCGCCTACGGCCCCGGGAGAAGCCGTGCAGCGTCATGGCTGGCGGCGAGCACGGCGGGGAAGTTTCGGGTTCCAGGTTCGAGGTCTTCGATCTTCTTCGTCGGTTCTCGACGGCTGTCCAGCCTCGGAATGCGCTCCAGCGGCTGCGCCTCGGAGAGAGTGCTCTGGGGGTGCCGGGATCGTCCCGAGTGGCCGCCGGAGGCCCGAGTTGTGACCCACAAACCACATTCGGCGGCGCGCCGGGGGGGAAGCGAGAAGGAGAAGGACTTCTCAGGAGCCCTCGCGCCTTCTGATGATTTTTTTGTGCTTTCAGGGAAGGCTCAGAAAACTGTTCAGGAGGCCGAGGGCTTCCGAGCCTTCCGAGTAGGCCCGCCCACATGCGTCCGCGCCACAAATTCCGGTACACGCTTCACACGGTTCGTGGCGCCATAGGGATCGCCACCGAAGAAGCTAGTCACAACTGCGGTCCTCACAATTGCAGGTGGTTGGGTTCTTCGCCAGGGCAGTTCTTCCAAAACCCGCCTGTGGGAGGACAATGCCCGACCTAAGCCCAGGGGGGTGGGACGCATCAACCCACTTCGTCCCGCCCAGGAACCTCGGGATTTGCTGTCGGTGGCCTGCCGCCGATCTGTCGGCGATGCATCGCCGATTCAGGCTCGATGTCTCCTCCCCTGAGCAGGTCCCCCCGATCGTTCCCTCTCAAGGAGGCGGATGCTGAGGAGGAGGAGGTGGAGGAGGAAGCGGAGGAGGAGGAGGAGGAGGAGGAGGAGGAGACGGATGCTGAGGAGGAGGAGGAGGAGGCGGAGGAGGAAGCGGATGATGATGATGATGATGATGATGAGGAGGAGGAGGAGGAGGAGGTCGTGTTTCCGCGCCCCAGGATGCGGGCGACGGCTGCGTCCAGGGCAAGTCGTTCTGCTGGGCCCGTGGAGACCTCATCGGGAGGGGCTCCCTCGGCCAGGTCTGGAAGGCGCTGGACCGCAGGACCGGCAGGCTGATGGCGGTCAAGGAGATGACCCTGGACGCCAGGGACAAGGATCGGCGTCGCCCCAACATAACTAATGCTATATGTGAGTCGCCCGCCCCCCTGGGGCGACGCGCGCACCGAGCAATCTTCTAGTATTTGTGTCGCGGCGGGCGCTTTCAGGCCGCACCGCTCGGGGAACGATGTACTACAAGGTGGGTATACTGTATGGTCGGGTCGGACGCCCGCCTCCAAGGAGGACATATAGTATCAGTATGTCCCTGTGCGTCCCAAAGGATGTCGAGAAGTTCCGGACGGCGCTGCAGAACGAGATCGACCTGTACAGATCGCTGCAACACAAGAACGTAGTCTCGTATCTTGGCAACGATTATACCCTGAACAAGTTTTATCGAATCCGCCTGCGGCCACTCACCGCTGCCCCCTGCATCTTTGGAATCGCCTATGTGGCCGAACGCTGTAACCACAGCTCCGCCAAGCTATCGGACGATGTGTTCACCCAGCCGTTGTGGAAACCTTGCGGGGTACACGTGGGGGCGGACGAAGATGAGGAGAGGGGGGAAGAAAAAGGAGGAAGACGCGGTGGAGGAGGAGAAGGAGGAGGCCTCTTGGGAGCCTCTTGGGGCACCTTTGGGTCTCCTGGGAGCTTCCTGGGGGCCTCTTTGTCGCCTCTTGGGGGCCTCCTTGGGCATCTTGGGGGCCTTTGGGGGCTTCTTGGGGGGGGCCCTCTTTGACCGTCTCAGGGCGTTCCTGGCCCGTCTGACGCCGTCTGAAGCAGTCTAGGGGGCCACTTTAGGCCGTCTTGGAGCGTTTCAGTGCCGTCATGGAGACTATCACAGGCGTCTTGGAGGCCTGTTGGGCCCTCTTTGGGCTGTCTTGCGGGCCTCTGGGGCCGTCATGAGGCTCCTTTGGAGGCCTCGTGAGCGCTCTGGGGGCGGTCGTGGGGGCCTCTTGGGCCGTCGTAGGACGTCGGAAGGCCGAAAAGGAGCACATGTCAGAACCCTGCAAACACATAAGGTAAAGTAATGGGTTTGGCCTCTTGGGGCTTCCTAGAGCACCTCTTGGAGGCCTCCCAGGCCTTCTTGGAGGCGTCTTGGGAGCCTCTTGTGCCGTCTTCGGCCATCTTGAAACTATCTCGGACCGTTTTGGGTGCATCTTGGGTCGTCTTGGGGGCGTTTTGCGGCCATCTTGGGCTCTCTTGGGGTCATCTTGGTCGTCTTGGATGCCATCTTGACCGCCCTGGAGGCCCTCTTGAGACCGTCTTGGGGGGCATGTGGCCATCTTAGATGCATCGTAGGCGATCTTGGGGGCCTCTTGGGCCGCCTTGGGCTGTCGGAAGCCGAAAAGGAGCAGCAGCCAACATCCTTCAAACACGTAAGACACGAAGCGATGCTAGCTTCCTCGGACCTTCCTGGAGGACCTCTTGGATGCCTCTTGGTCGTCTAGGAGGCCTTTGGGCGGGCCTCTTGAGCCATATTTAGGCCATATGAGGCAGTTTTGTGTGCATACTGGGTCGTCTCGGAAACATGTTGCGGCCATATTGGGCTCTTCTGGGGTTATCTTGGCCGCCTTGGAGGCCTCTTGGGCCGTCTTTGGGCCCTCTTGAGGCCGTTTCGGGGGTCTCCTGGACCGTCATGGGGCGACCTTGGGGCGATCTTGGAGGCCTCTTGGGCCGTACTGGGCCGTCAAGGCCAACGTCTTTCAACAACCTGTTACACAGAAAGGTGTCTTCGACCCTTTCTGAATGACCTCTTCGAGGCTCTTGCGCCGTCCTTGGGGCCTCCTGGGGGCCTCTCGGGCCGTGTTAGGCCGTCTCGGGGTAATATGAGGCGGTCTTGGGTGACGGTGGGGCCGCCTTGGAAACACCTTGCGGCCATCTTGGGCCGTCTTGGAGCCATTGTGGCCGTCTTGGAGCCACTTTGGAGGCTATCTTTGGTCATCTGGGCCGTCTTGGGACGATGTGCTGTGGACGGTGAGGTCTCGACGCGGCTCTCCCGGTGGCCAGCGGGCCGGGCCGAAGGCCCCCTGGAAACTTTCAAACAGAAACGACGCAGCAACCTAGCAAACCGACAGGGGGCGGCGGGTTGAAGAAGGCCAGGGTGAATCACCGCCGCCCCCTGCTTTTTGGAAACGCCCATGCGGCCAAACGTTGGGCCGACGTCAGGCCAAGCGCTTGGACTGAGTGTTCCCCCCGCCGTTGTGATACTCCTAATGGGGGAACACTGGGGAGAGGACGGGAACGGAGGAGGAGAGGGATGGAGAAGGCGGATGAGGAAGAAAAGGACTCTTGGGACCTCGCGGGGACCTCGTGTGGGTCTCTTGGGACCTCTTGGGGACATCTTGGATGCCTCTTTGGGCCTCCTGGCCTTCGGAGGCCGTCTTGGGTCCTTCCTGGGCAGTCGTGGGTCCCTCTTTGGAGGCGCTTGAGGGGACTGGGGCCGTCTTGGGGGCGTCTTGTGGGCCTCTTGGGCTGCCTTGGAGCCATCTTGGGCCGTCTTGCGGGCCTCTCGGGGGCCTCCAGGGCCGTCTTGGGGCGGTCTTGGTGGCTTATGGGCCCGTCTTGGGGTGTCGGAAGCCCGAACAGGCGAGAACGCTAAAATCAACGAGACACATACGCACATGCGGACAATCGCGGATCTGGGGCTCCTGGAAGTCTTCTTGGAGCCCACTTGGGGTGTCTTCGGGGCCACTTGGGCCGCCTGGAGGACATCTTGGGCCGTCTTGAAGCCATCTTGGCCGTCGTGGAGGCGCCTTGGGACCGTCTTGGAGCCCATCTTCGGTATTCGTGGCTGTTGTAGGGCCTTATTTGCCGTCTTGGAGGCCGTCTTGGGCGTCTTGGGGGCCTCTTGGGCCGCCTTTGGGCCCTCGTGGGGCCGTTTTGGGGGCCTCGGCCGTCATAGGGCCATCTTGGCAGCCTCTTGAGCGATCTTGGGGCTACTTTGGGTGTCTGTTGGGCTGAGTTGGGCCGTCGCACAGCCGACAAGAACCAAACACCCAAACCCTTCAATCACCATGGGAAAGCATTTGTTTGAGTTTTTGTCGGGCTTTCCTGCATGTCTTCTTGGAGACCTCGTGCGCCGTCTCCGAGGCCTCTTGGGGGCTTCTCGGGCCGTCTTGGGCCATCCTGAGGCCATCTTAGGCCGTCTTGGATGCATCTTGGACCGTCTTGGGCCATCTTGAGGCCAACTTAGGCCGTCTTGGCTGCATCTTGGGCAGTCTGGGAGACATGTTGCTTTGGAGCCCTGAAGGGCCGTTCTGGAGGCCATCTTTGGCGTCTTCGACGCCTCTTGGGGCGTCTTGGGGCCCTCTTGGGGCCGTCTTTGGGGCCTCTTGGGCCGTCTTGGGCCGTCTTGGGGCCGTCTTGGGCCGTCGGAAGTTAATTTTGAAGCGAATGCAAACATCCTTCAATAACCTAAGGAAGAACAATGAGTTTGGCCTCTTGGGGCCTTCCTGCAGGACCGCTTGAAGGTCTCTTGGGCCGTCTTGGGGTCCTCTTGGGCGCTTCTTGGGCAGTTTGGGGCTCTCTTGGACCATCTGGGCGGTCTTGGGCTCTCTTGGGGCCACCCTGGAGGCCATCTTGGGCCTATCTTGGGCCCTCTTGAGGCCATCTGCGCTGTCCTGTAGGCCATCTGGAGGCCATCTGCAGCGCACAAAAGGACATAAGACGTGGTTGGGCGAGCTTTCGGGTGACCGGCAGGATCGGCCGAAGTCCCGGGGGGAGTGTCAAACAGAACCAAACATAAGCAGAAGTCTAGCACGTCAGGCACCCCTGTGATACATCGATAGGGGGAGGCGAATCTAGTGGCCTTCGGCCCATTCCGCTACCGTGCCTTGGTTTTTGGTCAGAGGCATTTTGGATGCCTGTGGGCATCTCCTGGGAGGCCTCTCAGAAGCCTCTTGGAGGCGGTTTTCGGGTGTCTTTGGGGCCTCTCGGGGGCCTCCTGCAGACCTGATGACACTCCAACTCGTTCCTCAGGGCACGTTGGCGGATATTTACTTGGAGTACATGCCAGGCGGATCGATCGCACAGGTTCTGTCGCACTTCGGACGCCTGGAGGAATCGCTTGTCGCACGGTACTCGCGCGATCTGTTCTCTGGGCTGGACTACCTTCACACTCGAGACCCACCAGTCTTGCACCGCGACATAAAAGGTGCCAGCACACTACTCCTCGTCCCCAGGCCTCCGACGTCGGTTTTTTGTTTCAACATGGGCCACCCTGGGCTTTCGGCACATTTACCGGGACTCGTCTGTTGATAGAACTAGGGGATGGGCATATTGTCCAGTCGTCGAAGATTTTGATGCCGACGCGGCGCGACTGCTCGGAGTTACCAGAGGTTTCAGTCCTTCTCGTTGTCCTCCTCCTCCTCCTTCTCGTTGTCCTCCTCCTCATCATCCTCATCCTCGACGTCAAAGGTGCTAACATCCTCGTCGGCCTTGACAGCACGGTCAAGCTCTCCGACTTCGGGTGCTCCAAGCGCAGCGAGGGCACCGCTGTGCACACGCTCAAGGGGTCGGTGCCATGGATGGCTCCCGAGGTCATGGATGGGTTGACTCGGACGTCTTTGGCGGCGCGCACCCAGGGGGGTCTCGCGAGAGGGGAGGCATTCTCATAAGAATGCGGGGGGCTTCGCAGAAGAAAGTGGCCTTCTTAGCAGGACCCATGAGCTTCTCAGAAGTACTCGTCGAGCGTCCGATTGAGAAGCCTCCTCCCGAACTGCTGGGCCAGCTTTTCTTAACCAACTTGCTGAACACCTGGCTCAGCGTCTTGAGCACAGTGGCCCATCCAGCGTTAACACCAGAGGTTGGCCCAGGCCTGTTTGAAAAAGCTTCGGGAAGCTTGAAATCATGATTTGCTTGACCGCATGTTCGGTTTTAGTGGTAGGAGTCGAGAAGGATTCTAAGAAGCTCCCTAGCTTCTTCGAAGCCCACAGCCTTCTCAGACGGCCTCCCCCCTCGCGCCACTTCCCGCTGCGCGCCGCCAGCTTTGGGGACTCGAAACATGTGTTGTGTCAGAGTTGCTTCACAACGTCTGGCGTCCAGGAGGCCCGTTCTGGGCCCACGAGAGCTCCAGGGGCTGGCGGCTGTGGCGGTTATAGTCGCCGGATGTCTGTGGACGGAGGAGGGGGAGAAGGACCAGAGTCACTTCACGGACAAAACAGACTCGTCTACACCTTGTGCCCAATCGGCCTCATCAATCCACTTGGTCAGTCCGTGATTTTTATGCTCTCTTGTATGCGTTGGGGTCTTCCCAATCAACGTGTAGCCGGAGTCCTCGTGCAAGATCTTTAAACGGACAATTTTAGAAGGATGGTGTGCCGATCGGGCCAGTTTGCATGCGACGATCGATATTGTCTGCGATGTGGTGGACACGACAGGTGAAGAAACGACATTTGTCTTGAGCCAGCCCCCCCTCCGCGTCGCTTCCTCCTCTGAGTGAAGCTGGGTCAAAGAGGTCGAGGCGCCTCTGGAAGAGTGACGCTGGCAGTCGGGTGCTGTCCCGCGCCTTTTTCCCCCTTTCCGTGCACATGTAATCCTCTCCACAGACGTGCGCGTTCCAAGCCGCTACAGAACGGAATTGGTCGTGCGATCTTAGCTTGGGCGCAGACGCCCGCGCAGGTGATGCGACAGTCTGGCTACGGACGGAAGGCTGACATCTGGAGCCTCGGCTGCGTGATCATAGAGATGAGCACCGCCGAACCGCCCTGGGGCACCTTCGACAACTGCCTCGCGGCCATGGTGCGCATTGCGATGTCGGACGAGACTCCGCCAGCACCTTTGCCCCTGTCGGCAGATCCTGTGCCGTCTGCTGTCGGTCCCACGATCATCGACCTCGGGTCCAGCTCTTGCCATCGACTCCTATTTGTCGCCTGGCCGATCGGTCGTTCGCGCGACCGCGTGCGGTCTCCGAGTCGGCCACGTCACCAGAGGCACTAGCAGCAGCGAGGAGATGGCCGCGCTTCGCGGCGTGTGTCGGCGGCGAGCCTGGGGTGGAAGTCAGAAGGCGAAGGCCTTCTCAGAAGACGGCGGTCTTTCGAAGAACCAAAAACGCCATAAACACAAACTTTGCGCGCTCGGCGCGGATTCCTTGGATCCGCTCTGGGCGTCCCCTGTGGCGCCTCCGGCGCCGCCCCTGCGCGCTCCGCGCGCCAGGGAGGGGTGTCAGCGCAGATCCAAGAATCCGCGCGGACAGGAGGAGGAGGAGGAGGAGGAGGAGGAGGAGGAGGAGGAGGAGGAGGAGGAGGAGGGAGGAGGGAGGAGAAGGAGGAGAAGGAGGAGGAGGAGGAGGAGGAGGAGGAGGGGGGTCAGCGCAGATCCAAGAATCCGCGCGGACCGTCGAAAGTTTCGGGTGTATGCCGTTTTTGTTCGGATCCTATTCTCGGGCGGCCGGCGACGACACGCCGGCTGGTTCTGGAGGAGAAGAAAGAACAACGAAAAACGCCCCCCTCTCACTTGCCCCCGGGCTGGCTGCCGAGCGTGACCGACGGGTGCCCTTCGCCAGAGCCGGGGCTGCATGGGGGCGCGAAGGCGGCGGGGCTTCTCAGAGGACCCGGGAACTTCCGAGCCTTCCTGAGGCCCGCCCCCTCTTACTTCCCCCCAGGTCCTCCTCGTCCTCCTCGCTCCTCCTCCTCCTCCTCCTCTCCCTCTCCTCCTCCTCCTCCTCCCTCCTCCTCCTCCTCCCCCCTCCTCCTCCTCCTCCTCCTCCTCCTCCTCCTCCTCCTCCTCCTCTCCTCCTCATCCTCCTCCCCTCCTCCTCTCCTCCTCCTCCTCCTGCCTCCTCGTTTCCTCCTCCTACCTCCTCCTCCTCCCCTCCTCCTCCTCCTCCTCCTCCTCCTCCTCCTCCTCCTCCTCCCTCCTCCTCCTCCTCCTCCTCCTCCTCCTCCTCATCATCATCATCATCATCATCATCATCATCATCATCATCATCATCCTCCGCCCGGGGCGGCGTGGGGGCGCGAAGGCCCGCGCCTCGCGCGGTGCGCGAGGCGCTGAGTGCGGCGCCAGGCGGCGAGGAGTCGCTCGCGCGGCCGCGTGGGGCCTCCCGGCGGGCCACGTCGCGCGGCCGCCTCTGGCATCGCTCGGGCGTGTGCGTTTTTTTTTTCTCGGCGAGGACCATCGCGGAGCATCTGGGCCATCGTCGAGCCGAGAGCAACGCACGCGCGAGGCCTAAGTGAAAGGCAGGCGGGGGACGGACGTCCGAGGGATGGCGCGGAGGCGCTCGTGCGGGCGCGCGCGGTCTCCCCGGCTGGCCACGTCGCGCGACCGCAGGGAAGGCCCGCGGTCGATACCGCGGCCGACCAGAGCTTCCTCATCCACCACCTCCTCCGCCTCCTCCGACTCCTGATTGAGCGAGGACAGTTCGGGGCTAGCAACCTTGGGCGGGGAGGGGGGGGGGGGCAGTGTCTCATTTGTTTATATCCAGCGCGCGAAAGTACGGCCTCTGCTCTGACAGGGGCGGAGGAGTCTGTCTCGATTGGCGAGTGTGCAACCATTCCCCAGGACTGGACTTTCATCCTGATGGAATCGTTTTCTGACGGTCCTGGGGCCCAGTAAGGGCTGCCGGATGCCGAGACTGGCCCAAATCTTGCCGTCGCACATTCACGACGCGAGCAGGTGGGGTTCCCCCTCGTCCTCCTTCTCCTCCACCTCCTCCTGCTCCTCCTCCTCCTCCTCCTCCTCCTCCTCCTCCTCTTGCTCCTCCTCCTCCTCCTTCTCCTCCTCCTCCTTTCTCTCTCTCTCTCTCTCTCTTTCTCGGCAAGAGAGTTTGTCGAACGCGGCCATCCCCTTCCCAAGGGCCGGCCGGCCCTTGGGGGGATCCAACTAGTTTGCCTCGCGACGGGAGGTCGGGGCGTAGAAGTTTCAAAAGGTAAGCATCTTTTCTCCTCCTCCTCCTCCTCCTGCTTCTCCTCCTCCTCTTCCTGCAGTGCTTCTCCAGTGTCAACCTCCTCCTCGGATAGTATAGGCGGCAATCGACGGCGGCCGCGGTGACACTGCGGCTTGTATTGGCATCAACACGTGGGGGCGGGCAAGCTCATTGTACAGGCGAGTTGGACGCACGGCTGCGAGTTGCACTTCGCAGCGCACGAGTCGCCACGCGACCACGTGTGGACCCGGTTGCAGGAGGTGGTGGAGGTGAGGGTCCAGGAGGCGAGCGTATGCGCAAGGTGAGGCACTTCTACGACAGCAGTCGTGCAAGCTCGACTCGGGGCTGAACTGGGTGGATCAAACGCCTCCTGCACTGGTGCCCACTTTTCCAGACGTAAACGTAGCCACCACCCCCGATCCTGGCCGCTGGGGTGCTGGGCAGGTCACGCAGATGGGTGGACCGCGGCGGAGGAGGAAGAGAAGGAGGAGGAGGAAGAAGAGGAGTGAGGTATGTGATCGGGAGAGAGGCGGTGGGCTCGGATGACACGCGAGCAACTCCAGGCCTGCCTGCATGATTACGAGTGCGAGAAGCGGCCCACGCGGGTGGAGCTCAGCGTGCGGCCTCGTCAGCCGGGCCGCGGATGATGTGGTAGTCCTGACCGGCATGCCTACCCCATTGGGCTCGGGCTCTTCTGCGTAGAATGCGGCCCAGGGAGCACGGGTAAATTTCCTGGTGCCAACGCGTTCGTCCCAACCGCAACCGCCCCACCCCCCTCACCACCTGCTATCCTTGGCCGCGGGGCTGCTGGGCAAGCCGCGCAGAGGGGCAGACTCAGTGGCCACTGCGCGCGGGCGTGGCCGCCGGGGCCCGCCTTCCCGGCCCGCCCGTGAGGGTCCGCCCGCCCGATCTGCCCGTCTGGTGCTGCCGCGTGCTTTCTGCTCCCTGGCCCCCTCTCCTGCTGCTCTCTCTCTCTCTCCCTCGTGCTACATCCTCCCTCCCTCCCCCTTGTCCGTTCCGTCCGTCCGTCCTCTCCTCCGTTGCCTCAGAGAGACTGCACGACATACACATTGCAGGTAAGAAAGATATATACCCCCAAGGTGGGACAGTCGAAAACGACGTGGGCGGATACCGAGGGTTTGGGATATTCGTGTTGAATGGCCCGCGAGCAGGCAAACAGTCTCAACCTGATTGTTGTTGTTGTTGTTGCTGCTGCTGTTGTTGGTGGTGCTCAATTCTCAACTCGGAAGAGTAAGTATTGTTGCCCCCCCTGTGGGGCCCTGTGTGTTTTTCAATCTAAAGTCTTGAGTCTCAGAATTGTGCTGTTGGCCTCCAGTTCACAACAACAGCGGTTATCGCCTGATGTTTCTTCACAATGTATTCCCAAATCGTGCTCTCGCGCGGGACTTCTTCACAATTTATGCAGGAGACGCGCTCTCGCGTGGAATTTCCTCGCAATTTATTCAGACGCCGCGTCCTCGACACTCAGGGGTCACTCTCTCGTTGTGAATTTCTTCACGATTTATTTGTGAATCACGCTGTCGCTCGATCGCGATTCATGCAGGGCGCACGCTTCAGCAACCCGCCTGCTAGACCTGGCCGTCCGGGCCCGCATTCCCGACCCGCCTGTTAGGGTACATCCCCGTGTTTCTTAGCCATATATATATGTATATAAAGGGCATAGGGATGGAGACCGACACGAAGGTGAACCAGACCAGGCGGGGCCCGTGTCATCAAGCGACGTTCGCCTGTCAATGTTACGGAAGAACGTTTCGTTTGCATTGCGCGGCGCATGTTAACCATCCGACTGCGGGGGCGAAACCGCAGGGCAGAACGCGGACCCACCCACGCCAGCGGCCCTGTGAAGGACTAGCAGCTCGGAAAAGCACCCGGGCATGAAATGGCATCCGCCTCCCAATGTTGTCACCGGGCGCGCAAGCCAAAGCATGGCATATCGATAACTTGGCCCATGGGTGCACGCCCGCGCAAGCTGCCA